GGTGTCTGGGTGTGTCCTGTACTAACTGTGAGGGGCCATCCAAATATACCTTTTTGAAGTTCTTACTAAAACAGATTTAATAGTGGATTCATATGGAAGCTCATGATAATAATTTATTAGAGTTTAAAATAAAAATCCCAGGGCAGGCACAGTGTCAAGCGCAGTTGCTGCCTGCAGGAGAAAATAAAATGCCATGCTATTTGATTTGCTGGTTTAGAGGTCCAACATGAATACAGGCAGACAGCACATGGCAAGGAAGGAGGAGGTAGGGGAGGAGTAAAACATTCCAAATTATCAAGAAAAGAATATTTAGGTTCTATCTGGCATCTGAGAGAATAAGGGGTGAGGGGGGAAAGGGACTTGGGGACTCAACAAACTTCATGGCAACCTCTTGTCATCTTGCAGGGACTATGAACTAGGGGCAAGAATTCTGGGAAGAAAAAATATAGTATCGCATTAAATGGGTAATTATTCCACCTATCTCTTTGGCATGAGGCGAACCTACCTTCCTAGGGGTGATGTCTTGACCAGCTCATTGATCTTGTCTGGTTGCAATGAGAGGTACTCTACTCAGGTCAGAGGCCCTAGCCTTCTGGTCCCCTGACCTTCCCCTAATGGGCCTTTATTGTGACTCTAACATAGATATTCAATGTCCTCCCAAAGGCTCATATGCAGAAGGTTGGTCCCTAGGTGGTGTTATTGTGAGAGGGGATTGGATTACGAGGGTGCTGACCTCATCGATGGATTAATTCATTGGTGAGTTCTTAACTGAATGGGCTGTTAGGAAGTGAGGCCTTGTTGGAGGACATGGCTCCATGGATCATTAGGGGTGTGACTTTGAAGAGGACCTTTCATTACCTCCTAGCTGCCACGAAGCAAGCAGCTTTCTCCAATGCTGTCTTCTACCATTCTGCCTTTCCACAGACTTAAAAGCAACAGAGCAGCTGCCTTACATCAGAAACATAAACCCAAGTAAACTTTTCCTCCCTGGTTACAATGCTTATCTCAGGCATTTTGTCAGATGGATGAAAAAGTGACTAACATAATACCCAGAAGAACAGGGCAAAGAAATTTTGTAGAAAGGCAGCCATTTCCTCCCTAGTTTCAATCTGAATTCACCTCTCCCTGACTGTTTTAAACCCTGCACTTTTTCTTTCCTTTCTCCCTATTTCTTCACTCTTCTTCACTCCTTTACTGTCCTTTCCTAGTCTCCCTTCCCTCCTTCTTTAGTGTGTTTGGGTCCTTTCTTCCCTCTTGAATAGTTAGCATCAACAGACTACATGACTTTTCTCTTCAGTATCTCAAAGGTTGCAGGCCAAGCCTCCTGTGACTTGGTGAATAAATTAGGGGTGCACCTCATGCTCAGCCCATAGCTTTCAGCCCTTTCTTGATGCCACCTGGCTCTTAGTAGACTGAAGACTGCTGTCTGACTTGGGATGTTCTATCTGGGCATTTGGTTTTTTTTTTTTTTTTTTTTTGGCCCATTTTGAGACCATGCTTTCCTAAAGTTCAGGGCAGAGCAGCTCTCACTCCTGGGCAAACACTGCCAAAGTTTGGGCATTGGTAGGAGGAGCTAGTCTTGCTTTACTTTACATTTGATTTACTTAGCACCTCTTGACAGCCCTGTGCCTATGGCAGAGTGTATAACTTGTATGCTTGGCTGTAAGTCTACAAAGTCATTCCCCTTCTTGCTTCCATTGACACTAACAGTCTGGGGTCCACAGATTATGTGGATGGCACTGGAGTGTGTGTTAACATAACTGTATCCCCCCCCCAATGTTTCCCTTCCTCTGTGCAATTGGTCTCATACTCATGGGTGCCATGTAATGCTGAGGTACACTAAACAACCTCAAGAACAGCCCACATCAAAGCAAAGTCCTGTGGAATTCAGAGTTAGAAACCAAATGAGAACACAGTTTTGTGAGCATTTAAATGTTACAATTTTAATTTGTGAATGTTTAAGTGTTACATTTAATTTCAATGGGCCTGCACACTTAGATCACTTCAGCCCTATGCTTAACTTGTGACACAAATACTTAATTCCCACCTGTTCTTTCTACTCATTGTGGAGTCACCCTGCATGTTACTTTAGGGTCACAGTTTCCATCTCCCTAAGAATATGATGGGAGAATGGAAAGCAGGAGCTCTGGGCCCCTGCTCAAGAAGTCATCCTATCAATTATGTCAAGACCCCATGTTGGTCTCTCAAGCATATATTTGTATCAGATAGTGTGCTTGCCTCTGTGATGGCTTGAATGAGAATGACCCCCATAGATTCCTAAACTTGAATGTGTGGTCCCCAGTTAGTTGAACTGTTTGGGAAGGATTAGAAGAAGTGTTGTTGTTGGAGATGTGTCACTGGGGTGGGCTTTGAGTTTTCAAAAGCTGCACCATTCCCAATGTCTCTCTCGGGCTCTTTATTGCAGATAAGGATGTAAGTCTCAGTTACTGCTCCAGTGCTGTGTCTGCCTGCCTGTTGAAAGGCTCCCCACCATGATGGAAATAGACTCTAACCCTCTGCAACTGTGAGCCCAAATTAAACATTTTCTGAAGTTGTCTTGGCCATGGTTTTTTGTTAGGTCAATAGAAAAATAACTAAGACAGCCTCCACTTGAATATTAAATATAGAGGACTCAGGCACTCAACCAAGCAACACAGGTGTTGGCTATTATGAGAATTTTCTGGAGTCTCTGAACACCATGCACACCACACACAAAGAGCCAGAGGGAGGGGGAAGGAGGAAGGGAGAAAGGGAGAGAAGGAGGGAAAGAGGGAGAAATGGAGGAAGACAAAGAAGGAAGGAGAAAGAGAGAAAGGAGGGGAGGAGGGAAACCTGCATGTGTGTGTGTGTGTGTGTGTGTGTGTGTGTGTGAGAGAGAGAGAGAGAGAGAGTAGAGAAATCTCTCTAATGACAATTCTCATCTTCTTCTGGCTCGCCCTTCTAAGTCCCCTTATCTGAGATGTGCTATTTCCCCTGGTCTTGTAGAAACAGGATTTGAAGCAGTTCCTAGATGAGAACTTGTCACATACTTGTTTCCATTCCTCATGTGTAAAATAAGCAGACCAAATGTGATGATGACTATGTAAGCCCAGTTTTCTTCTAAGACAGAGTGAAAGACCCACATAATTGGTCTTCTGATATCCATCCCTGTTTCCCTATCAAATAATTCAAGGAGGTGAGTGTGCTGTAATGGTCAGTTGCATCCTGAGCATTGTTACCAGGTGGCACTGATGGACATGCACTGATGGACATGCACTTCAGGCATGTTGAGTTCCTAGGAGTTGGCCCGCTTGCATTTCATTGTGGGGGACAGGCTATCATCTAAGACAACTGTGATGCAGCACATTTGGTCCCAGCATCACCTTAAGCTCAGGTTAAGTATGGTTTGGAAACATGTAATTCCTGGGTAAATTTGATAATCAATCACATTTCAGAACCAATGGTATAAACTGAGTTGAATGTGTGTGTGTGTGTGTGTGTGTGTGTGTGTGTGTGTGTGTGTGTGTAACTCTCCAAAGGACCCATTTGCCTGGCCAAAATGGTCATATTCCTGCTGCCAACTGAATTTCAGGTCTCAGATATGACCACTTTCTTATAGAGTTTATTGAAATACTTTGATAAGGGCAAAAATAACATGTGGCACTTTGCATCTTTAGTGCCTGGCCTTTTGCGTTTCTAGCACACAATAGGTGGTTTTGTGTCAACTTGACATGAGCTAGAGTCATCAGAGAGGAAGGAGCCTTAGTAGAGGAAATGCCTCCTTGAGATCCATTTTCTCAATTAGTGACCACTAAGGGAGGGCCCAGCCCATTGTAGGGGGAGGGCCCAGCCCATTGTAGGTGGTGCCATTCCTCGGCTGGTGGTACTAGGTTCTATGAGAGGTCAGGCTGAGCAAGTCATATGAAGCAAGTCAGTAAGCAGCACCTCTCCATGGCCTCTGCATCAGCTCCTGCCTCCAGGATCCTGCCCTGTTTGAATTCCTGTTCTGACTTCCTTCAATGATAAACAGCAATGCTGAAGTATAAGCCAAATAAACCCTTTCCTCCCCAACTTGCTTTATGTCATTGTGGTTTTGTTTGTTTGTTTTTCAAGGCAGGGTTTCTCTGTATAACAACCCTGGCTATCCTGGAACTAGCTCTACAGAGCTACAGACAAGCCTGGCCTCGAATTCACAGAGACCTGACTTCCTCTGTCTCCTGAGTTCTGAGATCAAAGGCGTGTGCCACCACCGCCTGCCTTGGTCATGGTGTTTTGTGGAAGCAATAGAACCCCTAAGTAAGACAGGTGAGCATGAGAACTGAGTTTTGAGTGGGCCTACCCCACGCAGTGCACTATACCTGATTGGTGGGTATGGAAATGAGACTGATGGTAATTCCCTTTGATTTACTCTGTATGGTTCATAAGTAACACTGGCACTATTGCAAGCCTTTGTTTCATACTAGATGACAACAGAGCACCCCAGGTGAATGTATTTCAACACTTCTTTTGCAGGTGGGGAAATGGAGACTTACAAACTCCCTTTCAGGGCCTCTAAGCTGCTGTGTTGTATAAGAGAAATTAGAAACCAAATGAATTTGATTTCACATTAGTGAAACCAAGAGGAACCTATTATCATCATAGCACATGGAATTAACACGACCTGGTAAATCAACTTTGCCCAGTGGGCTGAAAAATCATTATCCAATCAGCTTCTTACAACTTTTAAAACACTTGATCAAACAACAAATTTGGCCAGGCATGGTGACATTTGCTTGTAATGCCTGCACTGAGAAGGCACTTGTGGGAAGAGCATGGTTTCTATAGCAGCTTAGATTACATAGCAAGTCTTCAAAGCCAAAGGGGGGGGGGCTTTTCATGTAAGAAAAGAAAAAGCAGAAAAAGTAAAATAACAAACAAAAAGTCAAAGAGAGAAGCAAAGAAATAGTGCATTTATAAAAAGATAAAGGACAAGCAGGTATGATTCATTCTCTTTCTTCTTCCTCCCTAACACACATACAATGTTTATTATTTTAATTATTAATTTAATTAATTTAATTTCATATACATGTGGGAACCCTGGCTAATAATGACAGGCCCATAAAACTAGTCACAAGTAGCCCAGACAGGTCAGCCCAAACAGACTTCACATAGAAATATCTCATACAGCAATTATCCCTTATCCATGCATCCTGAAAAACTGGTTTTTCACTTTAATGAGTTTTTCCTTAGAGTTATGCAAATCCTCCTAATATATGAACATCTTTATATACAAAGAAGGGGTGTGGTGGGACAAACAGCTTCATCTTGTTTACATTTTCTAGGGGAAATCATGAAAAAGCTGCTTTTAACTTGGTCTGGAATTCTAAAAGGGGGTTAATTTGTAAAGTTACCCAGTTACTTTTATTTATTTATTTATTTTGAGAAAAAACACAAACCCACCAAATTTCTAGGTTGAGCAAAGTTATTTGAAAAGAGAAAACAATCCTTGTGCCTCTCAGCCTCTGCCAAAGAGGAAAAAGACAGGAATTAGCATCCCCTGTGGGCAAGGTTGGGTCTGTGGTATGTCCTGGGGTAGGACTTCTCACTGGAAGTGCTGTGAAGTCAGAATTGCTCATCACAACCTGTTAGACTGCTCCATTCCCCTGGAAGGTAGGAAAAGAAAATTAGTTAATTAAGCTGCCATCTCTTTTTTTCCCTTCAACTGTCTGCCTGCTCTAACCCTCACCCAACTCTTCTTCCTTTTGACTTCACTTGTCCATTAGTATGTTTCCTACTGAAAGCTTTCTACAGTTTGCTGTCTCAAGTTTGAGGCTTTCCTCTGTGGCTTGCTTTTCATACTTTTCAGTTATAGGAAGCTTCTTTTCCCTCTTCCTCCTCCTTTTTTTTTTTTTTTTTTTTTTTTTTTTTTTTTGCATTATTGATTTGCCAAAACACAATTTTGGTGAAAGAAGTGCTTTGTTGAAAGCTTATGCCTTCTTCCTGAGTTTAATATGATGAGTATGCAATTACAAGCATCATTTGATGAGTCTCATGAGTACAAAACTTGATGTGTAGCTATTACCCTGTAGTAATCTTACTGAGCCAGTAAGATTAGCAGTGGAGCTAATGCTCAACTCAGGGTACCTGGTCACTAGTTGGCCACTCACCCAGTTCTCACAGCTTGGATATTAAGGATCCTTCCCATCTGTCACTTTATTTCAGGACCCTGCCAGGCTCTGGAGGCTCTCAGTTTAAGTGGACAGAAGTTGATCTGCATACTTTTGCATAAGTGACACAATAGGCAGCTGGGACAGCAGGATGCTGAGTCACCTTGCTTAAGCCTTGTGACTAGCAGGTGTGAAAGTGGGCTCTTTATGTTCTGTATGTTACTGGGGTAGGGATGATGAATGGAGAGGCAAGCTTCCCGTAAGAAAGAGATGGCATTCAGAAATGCTCAGGTGTGCATTGAAGTGTATGGCAATGGTGTTTCACAGTCTACAGATTACTTTTTAAGAGCTCAGAAAGGGAGGGGGAACAAATATTGATAAGCCCTGATACAGCTGAGACTATTCAGTGTGCATTGTATGCCCTTTTAAATTTTCTGTAATTTATTTTTAAAATACGAAAATTGGAGGGCAGTGTAAAAGCAGGAAAGAAAAAGGGAGTTCTGCTGATTCACCCTCCGTTAGTCAATCCCCCGTGCCTGCATGCTGAAAACTAGAAATTTTCCCACTGTCTATCTACTACCAATAATTTAGTCATTATATCATCAAAATACAGAGTTTTCACAAATTAAATGTAGTGAAAAGACTCAACACACTGGTATTTATTTATGGACATGCCTTTAAATGAACAGCTAGATTTAGTGAACTATTATTAGCTATCTAAGAAGCAATTCTAGTCTTAATATTTGCAAAGAAAGTTTAGTATCCAGCTAAAATACACTTGTGAGTTTAGCTGACTTAGGAAGCATTCATTCATTTTGAGTGAACTGTGAGATTTAAATGTTAAGTATTCTTAAGGATTTATTTATATTTTTTTTATGTATATGGGCATTTTGCCTGCCCATATACATTACTTTTGTGCCAGGTGCTGGAAAGGCCAGAGGAAGGCATTGGATCCCCTGGAACTGGACTTACAGACTGTTGTAAGCTACCACATGGATGCTGGAAATCAAACCTGATCCTCTGAAAGAGCAGGCAGTATTCTTAACTGCTGTGCCATCTCTCCAGCCCCTGAATGCTCAATATTCTTTTTTTTTTTAAATATTCTTAATTGCTACCACAGAAAATATTTTGTTGGTTGGTAACTGCTAATCAACCTTTCCAGTTGTTTAAAGATTAAAAAATGACCAGGCATGGTAGTGCATGTTTTTAATCCCAGAGCTCAAGAGGCAAAGGCAGGTGGATCAATGTGAGTTTCAGGCCAGCCTGGTCTACTTAAGGAATTTCAGCCCATCCAGTATAAAATGTTATTTCAAAAAATAAAACAAAACAAAATCAGCACAAAATAATTGAAATTTTACAGGAAACAATGTAATAGTTGGTGCAGTTGATTATATATGCATTTTCCTGTGGGGAAATTTTATTTACTGCATACATATTTTAAACTTTTACTTATTAGTGTGTAAGTAGAAGCATACGTGCTAAAATGTGCATGTGGGAGTCTAAGGACAACTTTCAGAAGTCAGTTATCTCCTTCCATCATGGCTCTGAGAATAGAAAACAGACTTGCATTAAAAATGTTTTTGCTTATTAAAATTTTACAATTTTGCTAATTTATTTGATGCATGTGTTTGCTTTCTTCCTCTGTGTGTGTCCTGTGGATTGGGCTGGGTTGTCAGGCTTGGCAGCAAGTGCCTTAATCCACTGAACCATCTTGCTGGCCCAGATTTTTCATGTTTTCAAAGCAATATATAATTATTAACTGTTTATTATTAACTTTTGTAACACATAATCTAAAGGGAAGGAAAAGAGTCAGTCTTCATTAAAGTAATTCTGATTTAGCACTTTTCATTGTTTTTTCTATGCATAGTTCTTTTTATTTTTGTAATTGTATATTATTTAACATGTGAGTGTTACAGTTTGTTTTCAAATGACCCCTACACACACATGGTGTTGCCAATGGAGCCCCATGAGTGGTAGGCAAATGCTTTACCACTGAACTAAATCCTTAGTCTAGTGTTTTCAATATTATTGTAGTTGTAGGGAGAATATTTTATTTGCATATGACATAAAAATAACTTTAAAAGCCTGGGAAGATATATAAGAAATATGTAATTTTATAGAGTGAGGAACCTGGGAGAAACTGGGTGAACTGAAGGTAAGGGAGTCAGAGAGACTTTCCAGGTCATTACATATTTTTGTATATGTGTCTTCACACATATGTTCATACATTTACTACCTAGTTAAAATGTTTTATTCATGTTTCAATCTGTTTATAATAAATGTATGAAGATATTTGCCTGATCTAATTCGGTCATGTGTTGAAATAATCAGGCTGGTCTTATTATTATCTATAGATTTGTTTTAATTTTTTATACTTTGTTATTGATATTTTATGATGAAATTTGAACGTCATCTTGACTAATTTCCTTCCTTTCTCTTCTTGTATCAGAAATTGTTTAGTCTATGCACTGTCTCTCTTCATTGGAAGAAGGGAGAATTCTAGGCCAGATGTAATGTATTGCTGCAAGAACATGCCCATCTGGCAAATGCTTCTGAAGCCCTTCTGAAAATATTGTAGTTATATAAATGTATACATGTAGCAAGGCATGGGGCTGGGAAGTGTGGTCAGCTTCATTCTGGGCACATTGCTCATTACATGTACAATAAACATAATACTGTTGCTTGTATGAGCTGTTGGGAGCCCTAGAGTGGCCAGGTTTTCCCCAGGCAACCACACTCACTACCCCTCATCTCATTGTGATGGTGGCTAACTTGCTCCATTGCTCTGTGAAGAAACAACAGAACCTTAACTTACCCCACAGCAGCCACAACATTGGCAGTCTCCGCAGAGGGTTCCCAGGAGACCATTGATCACCTGGATGGCACAGAGCACCATCTGGATCAATCCAATGACCAGCAGGATGGAGAAGAGGGTCAGATTCCAGGGGACCACATCCTGGGGCTTTGTGCACTTGTTCCACAAGGCTTGGTCATTAAGATAATCGCTGCAGGTGACAGGGACACAGGCAGGAAGGAGACATTTATCAAATGTATATGATCCCCTAGACTAGAAAGTTGCCATTACCATTTCTCCTGTGTAAGACATACTCTATGACGAAGTACCCCATAATGTCAGTAAAAAAGATCCCAAACACATGATGAGGTATAGAGACTTTATGTAACTTGTCCCAGTCTCAAACTACTAAGTGACAGAGTGATTTTTGTGGGTTGACCGAGAGGACAAATAAGCACACACACATTCATAAAGAAGCAAGAATGAAGTTGCACCGGGCCAGCACTGCATGCATGTTGATGGTCTTCATCCCAGTTATTTTTAGAGACCAATTCTATCGTCACAGTTATCAAATGGCCATCCAAAGCCGTGTAAAATAGATCATGTCACATGGCCAAAAGGAAGCCTCTCAGCCAGGTGTGGTCGCTGACACCTGTAATCTCAGCACTTGGGACACTGAGGCAGGAGGATTGCCTTGAGTCTGAGGCCAGCCCAAAGCTATAGTGTGATAGCCTGTCTCAAGACCAAACAAAGACCCCTTCCAAACCTAAAAAGATGCATCTCAGTTGACAGAGTGCTTGCCTGGAGTGCACAAGGCCCTGCATTTTATCCAACATAGCGAAAACCAGAAGTAGAGGTGCACATCTACAATCCCAGCACTGAGGAGGTAGGGTGAGGTATATGTGGAAGTGTCTGTCCCAAAATTCCTCACCTAGTACCTTTACCATTACACAAACGATATTGGAGAAGTTACAGAAATATGATGATTTATAAAACTCACAGTAATTGTGCAAAGTACTTTATGCCTATTGTGTTATTGTATTCTCACCAGAGCCTATGGGGTAGACCCAGTTGTCACCACAGTTTCACAGAAGAAGACATGAGAGATATGTGGCAGTTATATTGATTACAATGTGATGGTATTAATTGAGAGTCCAGGAAGACTCTCTGGATCCAGCCACCATGGGGAGGTATGTACCCTATTCTCAGCTCTTACATTTAACAGGAGAAACAGCATAAAGTGTCCTGTGTGGGTACCTTTTCCCTGCAGCTGAACACTAGCCTCCAATGCTCTTCTTCCTGCATCCTTCTTGGCAGCTATGGGTCAAAGCTGTAGGGGCCAAGAGTCTCAGAAAAGAAGAGTTGGGTGAAAGGAAGTTCTACTCAGGAACGTAAAGCAAATGTGTTTCCTAGGATACTTCTCTAAGGAGGATTTTATAGCAGATAGAGTTACTCTTTGCTCTTTTACAATCATCATTAGTAAACAACTCCATGAAAAAGTGGTAAGTTACTCAATATTGAGACGCTGTGAATTTTATAGTACAAGCTGGAATCTCAGAGGCCATCTTGGTAGCATTTGCCTTTCCTCCTCACCTCTAACCCTGGGTAATTTCTTCTTGTACAGTGAACAGAGATGAGAGGATTCCAAAATCTTGTCCCTTTCCATAAGGTTGACTCTATGCTGTTTTCATTGCGAAACTATCACCTGCCACTGTTGATAGATGAGTTGTCAATGTGAGGAACAGATAGAAAGACATGAGATGACAGCATGCATGAGAGTGACCCACCAGAAGCAGCTGTGAGGGGAATGGTGAGAACAGGCCTCTTGCAAAGCACAAGTACACAGCACTCAGAAACATGGCTTCCTGCTTTTACCTTAGTGAACATTTCTGGTGTTATCTGCAGGGACAATGGTCGCTCTCCTGACCTCGGTCATTGATTCAATTCCATCCAACGCACGGCATGAGTTTACTGATTCTAGGGGTTTACCGCTTCTAGGGGAGTGTCATAGGTCTTCTCTGTCAGAACCAATGGGCCATTGTATTGCTTAGGAGTGATACTTTGCCCCTATTGTGTTTCCTTCTCTCTCTGTTTTTGACACAGCCTTTAGGCTAACTGACATTAAGTTCATGGAGGACAATGTTATTCACACAACAGAGCACACACAAAGTTATGGTTAACACTGTAAAGATGCTGTTGACAGAAGTGATAGCAGAAGTGTCCTTCAGAAAGACATAACCCACTGCTTTCCTGATTCCTAGTGGAGAGACTGAGCCACGGATATAACACCTCAGGAGACGGCTCAGCATGCTGGTGTCTAAATTCTATGTTCCTCAATCTAATCCCATGGTGATGGAATCTCAACAGTTCACTGCAAGGTATGAGGGCTTTCCATAGTAAAAGAAACACCTTAGAGTCACTGCCTATGATGTGAAGATGACAGATCTATGTTTGTTTAGTAGTGAGAACAGGGTTGGGGTTGCTGACTGTGAACATACCAAGACCATCATATCAGAGCCAGTGCCTCCCATCTCCCCAGTCTGAAGACAGTTCTTGAAGTTTCTAAGAATCTTGTTATAAATGAATAAACAGTAGTTTAAGTTAATACAGCCATCCTTCTGCATATTCAGGTACCATGTATGTAAAATTGATCATAAATAACTGATAAAATTGCATCTGTAATGGACATGTCATTGTTCTCTAAGCAAAACTGTATTATCAGCTGTTTGCATAGCATTTACATTGCATCAAGTATTATAAATAATATGCAAATGCTGTTGCAAGTTTGTGCAAGGTACTTGCATATCAATAACTACAGATGTCCAGGAGGCTCAGTAGATGCTGATAGACAACTGTTTATTGGTATACCATATAGTTATTTTTAATGGACCCATTCTCTATGTGCTAGATGATCCAACAGCCATACTTCTTGACCCCCAGGGATGTTCAGACACTGTGCAAAACAGAGGATTTGAGATAATGAGCAAATGAGAAATGGTCCAAGATTCTCAGAGAACAGACTATAGTTGCTTAACAGAACATCTGCCACAATGGAAATGCTCTATATTCAGCACAGTAGCTACAAGCCACAAAGAGCTAGTAAGTACTTGAAATATGGCTGGTAGAATTGTGGAATTAAATCAAATATTCATTTGGGAATGTCCCTATGGTGTCTATCCTATGTGGCAAGCTGATTCTGATTATGCTATGGAAGTCTAGGAATCTAGACTTGGCCAGAAAGTCCTAGGTACACTCCTTGAGGACAAAAATATTAAATACAACCTGCTAATGCTGGCATGTGAGTTGTGACATAACAGCTTTTCTCTGAACAACTAAGGAATCCTCTTCCAATTGCTCCTGTTGTGTTTTTCAAAAGGACAATCAGAAGCGAGGCCTAGGTAACTTCTCTTAACCACAGAGTCATCTTTGTCTTGAGGGGCAACATGTTGGGAGTACATAATGAAGAGGCCATGACATTATGTTCATTGTACATGGAGCCTTACCCACTGTGGAAGGGGTATTCCCAGGTACCATTGCTCAAGAGGCATTTCGGACCTTTGTTGATGGAGACAGCTGAGACGATGAATGAGTATCCAGCACCCACAAATCCAATCAGAGCAAACAATGTGGAGGTAAACATCTGAAAGGGAGGAGAGACAACAAAGTTCTTAAATTGTGCAGGGATTACTTATGCTCAGTTACACCACTCAGCAAGCCACTTATAATTACAGGTGGGACTTATAGCTCTCTTAAATGAAGCTTTGTGACTCATGTTCCCTTTATTACTCCATGCTCATCTTTTCACTTATTCGTTGACTGAGGAATGCAACACTGTCTGTACCTTCAGATCAACATATACATACATACATACACACACATACATAATAATAAGAATAAAATCTATAAGACCAACATGCAAGTCCAATCTGTTACAGAAGAAAAGCATCTTGGGATTAATTTTTCTGGCCAGGTGCTCTATGTAGCACACATTCTGCTTATGCTGCTGAAGACTATAAGTCTAGAGGGTCTCCACTCTGGTCCAAGGTACACTCCCTATGGACAAAGATGCGATGCACACCCACACTCTATACCTCCACACCTCATGGCCATCAGCGCTGGACATTGTATTGTTTTCAAGTTTCCTTGTGAATGAAATTGGTTTTCTCACATACATAAAATAAAATTAAATTTAAAATAGCTTTCTACTTACTTGATCTCACTGTGGTAGCCTATGCTATCCAGAAGTCATTGAAGTATTACTGATTGAACATATAGGTGTCTTTGAACTGTATTAAAACAGAGCTACATTTCCAGCTGGTTGATGTGCTCTGAGCTACACTGGACTAAGCAAGAGTGGAGGTGTCTTCTAGCAGGCCCCTTCAGCTAAAATCGCCCAGAATTTCTACACCCAGACAGTAGGAAAAGTTAACTCCACCACCTGCTGAGAGATCTGGGTAAAGGGGTTCAGGTACCACAGCTAAACATTTTACGTGTTTGATCATACATAAGGTGAGTCTGTACTGGCATTGTCAGCAGTGGAAAGTCTTCCCACCCACTGCAAGATGAGGACTTCAGCAGCCCAGGCCGTTCTTGAACTGTCTATAGATTTTATCACATTATAGCTATGCAACCATTGTCACTAATTGTCATGAATTTGAAATTCTGAAAGATTTGATACTACAAATTATTATTCAGTGTGTTAGTAAGCAAGAAAGCACTTTTATTAACCTTTCATGCATTGGCTGTTATAATAGTTTGCTTTTGAACCCTTTAATACAATGAATTTCCCTTAAAGATTCAATGAATGTTTTTTTAAATAGTTTTGAAAACTGGGCACAATGATGCCCATCCATAATTTATGCTCCTGGAGGTAGAGGCAGGAGGATAAGAAATTCAAGGTCACATTTGGCTATATGTCAAGTTTAAAGCAGCCTGGAATGCATGAGACCCTGCCTAGAAAAAAGGGTAAAAGTTATTTTGAGAGGGTGTTCCTATATAATTTTCACCTAGACTGTAAGAGGGTAATAGCAAAGAGTGAGTACAGAGGTAAACACAGCCCCATTTAAGCAAACCAGGAGTCAGGTTAACAAAAACCATCAATAAGGGGATGGTGGGGCATGTTGTTCCCTTTTATCAAAGTGTAACCATTTGAACTTCTCCTAGACCACCTTGGTCTGTAATGTTAAACAAAAAACAAAACAAAACAAACAAACAAAAAACAAAAAAGTGAAAGCTTAAAGAAAAATGCAGAAGAAGATATTTCCTTTGACAATGTATTTTGCATATTTAATATGTTATTTCAACATGTAATGGAACAAAATAAACGTCTTTTTTAACCAGTTCTTTGGAATATGGTCGTATTTTGCATAGATCAAGCACCTTTCACTTCCTCAGCAGCCACATGTGGCTGCCATGTTTAACCATATTTGTCTAGGTCATCTGAGATTTTTGGTAGTAAGAAGTTTTAAAATTCACGGATCTGGTGTTCATTGACTTCACAGCAGTCCTTCCTCTCATGAAGGAAAGAAATGTGACAATGAGAGGAATGCTGTCACTCTTAAGTGAATAGACTGTGCGTTATTTTGCTATATAGTGTCTCCGAAAAGGAATGGGGTGTTGGGTTCCAGTTTTGGAGAGTGCTGTGATACATTCTATCTTTGAGCTTCAGTTTGAAATACCCCCACTTAAAATAAATAAGGCAAACACTCTAATTTCCATATTCTTACAGAATAGGTGACACACATAAAGGAAGGTACACTTTACATCACACTAATTTATATCACATAAACATGCCCAGTGTCACACCACACCCAGCCAGATATAATCTGTCTTAAAACAAGCATGGGCTAAGTCCCATTTATTATAGGTTTTATGGTAAAAACTTCTTTTATTAGGTGGGAATTTACTGAGGTCAAGTTAAGTACACTAGGGTAGCCACTCCCTAACTGATAATATTTAAAGTGAATAGCAAAGGGTCTGGGACAGCTTCCAAGGTAGCACTTCTTGAGAGCAGTGCCACCTGCCAGGTTTGGGAATCCAGAATGGGAACATTCATTCTAGCACTGCAGTCTGCTTTATCTCCTCGAAAGGAATAGATAGAAAAAGGGACACTAATGTGTCATGATCATGGGTGTGAGTTACAGGGAGCAGGAGCTGGGTCTAATCCTGACTATTCCCACATGACCTTGAGAAGTAGGGTTCAATAATAATAATTAATGAGTAAGAGAACCTGTTCAGCAGTGACTAGCCTCTAGAAGAACCAGATATTTCTCAGGGTTAACATGATGGTGAGCTATTAAATAATGTCCAGCATGCCACTCACTGATAAGACACTAGGGATCTTTTGTGCTTATTCTTAGGAAAATTTCCACAACACTGAAATATACTCAATACATGAGTACTAGTACATAACAATTTATTATTATGCTGTAATATTTTTACTTTTGAACCTTCACCTTCCTTTCTACAAATAGAAAATGCAAAAGTCTGGAGAGAAAAACAAAAGTAAATGGATTTCCTCTTAGATGGTTGTTCCAGAAACACATTCTGCAGTCAAATGTCTACTGCTGAGCTATCCGCGCCCCCAGACACATTCTGTTTACACTGCAAAGTATGGGTGTACACACTGTATGCTGTAAAAGCTTTCCTTGAAGCATATGATAAGTCCTGTAATCAGATGCCTTCTAACTCACCTCCTGCCCACCCGATGACCTCCCTATCAGGGTCCTGTGATAACTGAGCCCAGGACTGTCATTGCTCAGAGTGTGTCTTTGACCACTTACTATATCTGATTTTAGCCAGATCACATGGAAAGGACCGTGGAGCTGGAAGGGGAGGAAAAGCATGTGTTCTGGGGATGTAGTATTTATAGGCAATGGCAATTCTAGTAAGACAGATACCTCAGGTGGACACCTCCTTTCTTACTTGACAAACATTCTAAGAGACCAGTAGAGGCTACCTGAAGTCAGTTCTCTCTCTCTCTCTCTCTCTCTCTCTCTCTCTCTCTCTCTCTCTCTCTCTCTCTCTCTGTCTCCTGCCTTCCCTCCTTTCAGTGTACCAGCAAGCCCAACTGTTTTTTCTTAAAATGGTAGTATCCTGTATCTTCTGTCTTGGCTCTGCTTGAGAAAGCTATGAGGGTTCCAATCAGGAACTTAATGTACAACCTGGGTTTCTTCACTTGTAACATGAGGACTTTATTGTGTAACTCAAAGGGCTTTTGTGAGGATTAAGCCTGAGAAAGTATAGAAATCCCTTGAGATCCCTCCTGGTATTCCTTACTTTATTTGCTAAGCAAGTATTTCTCCAGGATTTATTCTGTCCTTGAATCCTAACATTTACCTGGGACTTCCCTTCTTTCTCTTACACTAATGTTGCGACTTCTTTCTGGTAATATCTTCTGAAAAGTAACAAATGTCATTGCCATAATCCATTTCACAACAGGTCATTTTACTTTTTGTTTTGTTTTGCTTTTTTCTTCAAATGTTTGGTTGCTGGGTATGAAACCTATTGGTATATGCATGGTAGGTAAGCATTTTATTACTAGGTGTCATGTCATTCCTAGCCAAAGAAGTTGATTTTTTTTGAAGCATAGAGAACAGTGAAGAAATGTAGATCCACATTTTAACTTCTTAGTTTATGATAACGTATCATTTAAAAGCATTGCTTTTCTTAAATTTGCTCCAATCTGCCATTGGTAGGAATATATCCATGACCTGTCTGTAGGGGGCAGTGGTGAGCTGAACACAAGACGAGGAGCTGACTCTGCTGCACACATACTGCCTTCTGATGATACCAAGGTCTTTCAAAAAGTCAACCACATTGCCCCTCCTGGGGAGTGGATATCGGGATTTATTACCCGATACTATTAAGAACTGAGATGTCTGCCTTGCCCCCAGCTATCTCCTTTATTAACCTGCTTTCCATCCTGTTATTAAAGACGCTTGACTTTGAGTCAAGTCCAGGGTTTCTAAATGGCCCTATGCTAAAGTGAATGAATTGATAAAATTAGAAGTTAGCTGTCATCCCATTGGACCCCGAGAGATCAACATTTTCCAAACATGAAAGAGAGTACAGGGGGCAGTGACCAAACAGACAGGCAGTTAGAAATCGCAGAGAGTCTTGGGCATGGAAAGAGGAGGTTGTGACCTAAAAACAAACCCAGGTCAGTGATTCAAAGGCCACCCTGGAAGGTACCTGTTCTTACTGTTTTTTCCTGGCTCACATCAGCCCAACTTATCTGAGAGAGTTCAGACATTTGGGCTGAGCTTCAGCTGCCTGTCAGGGGACAGAGGTGTGTGTGTGTGTGTGTGTGTGTGTGTGTGTGTGTGTAGTGTGTATTTCTGGCAAAATGTTAACTGTCTCACTTGGTACTTCTCTGAACAGAAATAGCACAACTATAAAGCAGGAGCCTTGGACTATAAACATGGTCCTGGAGGGGGACAGGGACACTACCAGGTTCCATGAAACATCTAGTATAGACCCATAGAGCCATGCCTGCACAGGCCATACCAACATAGACAGGCCATGGTTGTGCTGTGAGGCCAGTAATAGCAGGCTTTTTTTTTTTTTTTTTGGTCATTTGAGAAAAAATAAGACATACAGGTGCAACTTGTGCTCTCATCACTGATTCAAAAATAAACCTACCCAAACCAAGAAACCCGGGTGCTGACTATCCAGCCACAGTGCCCTGGCCTCCTGTAGCTGAGGCTTAAAGCCTTGGTTTCCAGTCTTCAGGCTGGCAGTAGGAGGCAGCTATTTTCAACCCTCTCCAAGGGCAGATTCCAACTGGGGGCCCAGTAGCCCTGGTCGGTGATGTATATTGAGCAGACCAAATGTTTCAGAACATATTTGCTTAACTGCACTGGGAACAATGTGACTTTCTTGCTGTATTCTGTACTTCATTTAAATCAAATGAAATCAACATTTTGTATAATACTTTGTACACAGTTTTGCTTCTTACTTTAGTTACAGAAAACCTAGAAACACACAAGCAAGCCTGGGACCTGCCTGCCTTTGTGTAACAGTCAGTCATTGTCTAGTTTTGCCTAGCATCAGAAATGCAAAGATAGATTTCTAAGGTGTTTTTTTTTTATATTTTCATCCAAATTCCATAATTGCTATTTTGCAAACTGCCATCTCCAACTTATCTTGCAAACTTTACAAATTATAAATGGTCTGATGGAAAAGTGAATTACATAGCATTTCCTTTCCTGTACAGTCAATCATACAAAATATTACCAAGTATATACAAAATTTGACACAATTATATCAAATGAATTGTTGCTATTTTTACTCTGTAAAAATGCTGAAATGACAACTTTCAGTATTTATTATTTTTAGAAGTGATAATCTATGAGTGATAGGATGTCATACAAAAACCTTCAGTGTATTATACATAGAACACAGTTGCCTTCTGTGTGTGCTTGGTAAATACCTTCTTTCTTGAATAAGTGGGCAGATGATGTCAAGAAAGAAAAGTCAAGGTGGTTCTGTTTCAGAATGGGCAGACAGGCTTTCAAGGTTTTAAAGCAGGCTTAGCTGTCTCCTTGATAGAAACTTGAGTCCTGGGAAGCTAGAGTAGGAGTGTCCTTTACTCATCATCAAACCCAGGGTCTACCCTCATCATATGTTTGTCTCATCATATACCTAAATGTTTAATAGTTTTTAATCCAAGTGTTTCATTTATCTATATCACTATTTTGAAAGAAAAACTGAAATTGTTAGCAAACATGAACATACTGTTACTAAGTTTTAATCAACTAATGTTGCTTGGGTTTTTCCTTTGTTAGGAGGGAGGTTTGGAGGTTTAGAAACAGCAAAGACGTATCCCCATCAAAATAAGGATTTCTTTCCTTCATAGAATGAAAACAACTGGAGGAAAAGTGAAAGAAAACATTTTTTGTTGTTGGACACATGTATCTATGTAGCAGGGTTTGGCCCATATCTAGGGAATTCTGATCTAGTCCAACTCCCTTATCTTACAGTTGGTGACTTGCCCAGTTGCAGAAATGGGACATGACCCACCTGCCAGCATTCCTTCTGCTCCCCTGGGGACATCAATGCCTCCCTAGTCTCCAGTTCACCAACCAAAAGATGGATGACCACATGAAACAGGAGAGGAAGCTAAAATCCCAAGGCAGATTCTGGGTGGCAGTGGGAAATGCTGGGCCTCCAGAAATAGTGCCCTTGGCTGTGGTAAAGACGTGAGCTATTAGGGAGGGGAGAGAGCATTTTTACCCTGCCCCAGGTTTCCTTTAACGATGAGGCAATTCAGAGCCAGCAGAAAGATATGATTTGTTAAAGTTCGAATGGCTTCTTAGTGCAAAGGGAAGTGTGTGGCCCCACCTGTGCTTGCTCTATGTGGTGTCATGTCACTCCAGTTCTAAAGCTGTCATTGCTGTGGACTTAGACTGAAATGTGTCTATACCTCTAAGTATGAAGGTTGTAGGAGTTAATATAGTCTTGTTATTTAACTATCCTTATTATTCTGGACCAGTGAGAGTCAGAGCATAATCATGTACCACCCGATGTCCCAAAAGTTTTGCTTGGGGCTGGTTAGTTGTTCGGCACACCCATGCTTCCCAGCACAAGCCAGCAGTGAACTCCAGAGAAATTCTGGCAGCTGACCCCATGACAACTCACCGCAAATCGTTTCCCACAGCTTGCATTGCCACAGCATCCACAACAGTCATTGTTTTTCAGGCCCAGGAATACCAGTGCAGGGAAGATCATCTGCCAGCAAGAGAAGAGGTGATCAGAGTGTCTGGGGTTGGAGTGAAACACACGTTTATTTCCCAGCCAATGAAGACCTCAGGTCTCAGAGGTTTAGGTAGGCAGGCAAGATCTAACAGCTAGTGTGTCTTGTAGGACATGTTTTGAGTATGGGGGGTTCCATTTGGCCTGACTGACCAATGTCTGTGAGGAGATTTTAAGAGCCGGCATCCCCAGTTGTCATCTATAGGAGGGTTAGGGCAAAGAACAGAGACTTTAGTGTCATATTACAACCTGGAGGTCCCACCCCATGTTGGAAACAAGGGGTAAAGAAATGGTGAGTTTCTGAATAAGAGCTAATCCACAGCTTCTGCACCTGTGCATTCTAACTCGGTCCATTTGGATAAAGTCCCGTGTTTCGTTTATAATTCTTATAGGCACTATTTTATTGGAGTAAAGCAATCAAGTGGCTGTTAGCTTGATTCTCTGAGCTCCAATGTCCTACGGTGATTCCAGCTCAAGCTTAGGGATGAACCACTTAGTAAACCAAGATGTCCTCAGCCACTAATACGAAGGAGAAGTATAGTAAGGCACTATTTTTCTTTTTGTGGAGGTTGTTAGCTTCAGAATAGCGTCCATGTACTAAGAAGCCAATGAAAGAGGATGGGAGCAGGGGATTTCTCTTTCATGGGAATATTAAGGTGTCTCTACTCACCAAGACTCCGCTTCCCACAATTCCTCCGAAATACCAGACCTCTTGGGAAAGGTGGTCGTTGTCATCTATCACCTTTCCTCCAGGAAAGAACAACAGGATATTCGCCAGGAGGCCAAACACAGCCAGGGGAATGAGGGTGCCCCCCAGGCACTTGGCACAGCCCCCAGTACACATGCTGGGGTGGCACAGTAAAGCACGGGGATCAAAGGCTTCTCACCAACTGCTTCACAGGTCTCCACCGAGATCTGGCAGTGCGTTCCAGTAGCTGTACTCAGTTCAGTAAGAAAATTGGAACCAAGCGTCAGAGCTTTTTGAATGGTGTCCTTGGAGTCGATTCACTTCTCAGCTACAGCAGGCCGTTGGTGGTGATGGGCATTTATATCCCTGACCCTATGTCTTTTCTTTTTTTTTTTTTTGCACCCCCATAAATGAGATTACGTTCTGTGCAATCGTTCAATTGTTTTGCCATGGCGACCAATAACCTCTGTTAATAATCCACCAGCATAGACAAGACATTCAAGTTGTTGCAACCAGAGAGAAGGCTGGAATAGGCAGTGTATAGCACTGTCCCTTTAATATCACCATATCCTGCTCAAATGAAGAAGTATTCCCCCAGGCACTACATAAATCACTCTCATAATCCACTAACATCCTGATTAATGCTATGCCTCCCAAGCACTGAATGATCTGCCTGGCTCTTCTTTGGTCGGGTTCACAGGAAGCCTGAAACACAGGCTGATCCAGAAGGGCTTGTTTTTTTTTTTTTTTTTTTTTTTTTTTCTCAATTCAGAAGTAATTGGATTGGCTAATTGAATAATGCTGAATTCAGGCCTTTTCTTTCTTTCTTTCTTTCTTTTTTGCATAAAATCAGAACAGCTACTTATTTTATTGCCAAACTGCTGTATTTTAACTTGTTTACTCAATTAGGTAATTAAATTCTGTCTTCTTCCCGACACGCCATGGAATTAGCAAAAATGAGTTTTCCTAATCGGGTTGTTTACTTACTTTGTACAGGAATAGAAACCTGTGTCTAAACAGCAAGGCAAGAGAGCACTAGAAGAAAGATGTGGTCAGCAGAGGCAGAGGGGATGTGAGGGAACACAGCTACAAGGTGTGGGAAGTGAAACACATCCATCCTACTGGAGGTTTCGCCAGCTTCCGGGAGCACAATTCAGTGATCAGCTTGCTTTGTGTCACACTTACCAGCTCCATGTGATGCATTGCCTTGCCCTGGTGCGGTGTGATGGAACAGCTGCAGGACTGCTGGGTGGGGAAGGGACACTTTCTAGTTCTTCACCGATAGTCTAGAGGTCAAAACTCAGGGCAGTAAGTAAAAAGTTTAGGGGTTCAAATTGTTGCTAAATAAAAAACAAATGACATATAATTGTGATGACACTTGCTCCATGACAGAGATGGTCAGGGAAACAGTGAACTGTGCTCTGCCAAGTCTCTGGGACCACTGGCTAGGGAAGCTAGCTGTGGGAGGGATTGTAGAAGAACACTGAGGTTCCTTCTGAGAATCTAGAAAATGTGTCTTGGTTGTTCTGGATACACACTGAGAGAACTCAGGGTCAGTGTGAGACAAAACAAAACTAAACCTAACAAAAACAAAAGGAAGTGTTAATGGTAAACCTTAAAGCTCAAGTACAAATGAATATATTCAGTGCTCTCTGATACCCAGACTATCAGTGTTCCCTACTATCCATGTTCCCTTGAGTCCAGACAGGCTTAGGAAATTCTTTAAAGTCATCCTGTAGAAGAAGAGGAACTAATTCTCTCTCTCTCTCTCTCTCTCTCTCTCTCTCTCTCTCTCTCTCTGTCTGTCTGTCTGTCTGTCTCTCTCTCTCTCTCTCTCTGTGTGTGTGTGTGTGTGTGTGTGTGTGTGTGTGCCATACTTGGCTATGTGGAACTCAAAGGAGGAAGCAGAGTATCATGCTCTATCATTCTGCATCCTATTCCCACGTGACAGGATCTCTCTCTGAGTCTGAGTCTGGAGTTCTCTAGTTTCTTTGCTAAGCTGGCTGGCTAGCAGATTCCATCTGTCTCCAGCAGTCTCAACCACTCTTAGACCCAGCTCCGGGTGATGTTTTGATGGTGCTTCCCCCATCCCTCTGCCCCTGAGTCTGGGGTTATTGGCACTAGTGGCCATGCCATGATTTTAGTTGGATGATGGGGATCGAAATCTAGGTCCTTACTTATGCAGCAAGCAGTCTTACCCACTGAAGCATCTCCCCAGTTTTTCCAGGCCCTTGCTTGAAGGTCGACTGTTTACTCTATGTCCCAGTGTGGTTATTAGTAATGAATAGTCGAGAAGACAGAGCCCTATCCTGTAGCCAGTCCTCTGAGAAGACCTGGTGGAGAAACGAGAGGAGATGACACCTCTAGAAGAAATGTAAAATGATGGGTGGGGAGTTTTTGGAGGAAGAAATGGAAAGAACGGCAAAGTGGAAGTATTCTCATGGGCCTCCTGGAGTTTTGATGGCAGCGTCTTTTGCAATATGAAGTCCAAGGGCTTCTTTCCACTAGATTGAGTCCCGAGCCAACAGAACAGAGGGTTCTATGGCCTCTAGCACTGAGGGAGGGGTGCAAGGTGAAGCTGCTTATCTTTCTTAACTTCACCACACAACACACAGAGAACAGCCCATTCAGTTCCATGGAGGAAAGTCAATCAATGCGCGTGTTGTCCCAGGATACATCCATCAGTGTGCCACGTAGTAGCCTGCCCTTGAAAACTAAGTTGCTTTCTGCCTTTTACACAGTGAAATGTCCATTAATAGCAAAGGAAGCAGCGTTTTTGGCTTGCTATAATTCACTGAACAGATGGGGAAAAGATGATGAGGGATGCCACATTCAGGTTTCATACATTTTATACAAACTTTGCTCACCTTGGAAGAGGCTGCTTCCAATAAAATTGATTTCCTAAGGTTCCATGAAGATCTTAGAAAAATGACAGATAAGAGTGGCTGAGAAGCTGGGTTAAGTGGGTGACCCAGCTTTGCTGAGGGGCTGGCAGGTGTGAGCATGGTTCAGCTGCCAGAGGAAGATACAGGAGCATCTGATATCTAGTCTATGCTGAAGAACTAAGAGGCTTGTATACAGACCATGCCTGGGGAAGATTGAAACCCAGTCAACATGTCCTCTTCTTCCTTCTCTGCTCTTTTCACCTCTTCCATCTGACATCCCTCCAGGACTCCTATCAGCCATCACTGCTCTCAAGACATCTTGTTCTATAAGACCAGAACTCATGCTTGATATTATTAACTTGGCCCCAAACCCATGGCTGGATATCAGAAGCTCTAAGGGAGAACCTAATGTATTATTCTGCTAAATAGTAAATGTAGTAATAAACTGTCCAAATTCTTATCTTTATAACATAGACTTCTACATTATTTAGCTCACATCAGAGAAGCTTCCTCTGCAGTAGATGAAAATTAATAAAGAGACCAACAACTAGTCAAGGTGCAGCGAATATGAGACTGTGAAATACTCTCCTCTAAGTGGGAATTCCCTACCATGTTCCAAGGTGATGGTAGAAGAAGCAAGAGGGAAGCAAGTCTATAAAGGCAAGAGGAATAATGTCTGCAGTGAATCAGCATTTGCTGGACATGACAGTTACCACACACACACGAACTCACAGAAGCTGGGACTATGTGCACAAAATGAAGCCATCATGTTTCCAGCTCAGATCCCTACATCTAGCTGAGGAGCTCCTCAGGGGGAGGGAGAGCCTGCTTTCTTCTGGGATTTGGCCCCTGACAGGCTAACCATGCCTACACCAATGCATATACAGGGATCCTTACGCTGACTCTCTTTGTTGACTCTTTTGAGACAGGATCTCTTGGTGTAGCCCTGGTTGCCCTGGAACTCACTATGCAGACCAGGCTGATCTCCAGCTCACAGAGATCCACTTTGCCTCTGCCTGCTGAGTGCTGGGATTAACAGTGTGGACCACCACACACACCCCAGCCTAATTTTATGAGTTTTTTTTTTTTTTTTTTGAAGAGCACATAACATTGGAAGGGAAAAGTAGCTGGAAGGTAGGGTAGGATTAGGAGAGGGATTAAAGAGGAGAAAATGAGAGGTAGATTTGATCAAAACATATATGGATGTATGAAATTATCAAACAATAAAATCTTTTCATAGTTGATGTATTAGGGAGATTCAGTAAAGCAAAGCCAGAGCCATGAATGGCAGGATAGTTCGGGGTTTGGAAATGTAGTATTGAGTGCCACTCAGACTTTGAACCCTTCAGTTATAGAACAGCTTGCCTGGCCAGAATTCCTCAACACACTATTTAGAAAACCGGGGAGCTTGCGTACTTCCCAAAGGCTTAGATTATAGTCTGTTGGTAAAGAGAAGGAAGTTTAGCAACGATAAAGGCTGAGATGGGTTGAGTGTGATTTGTAGATTGTGAGGAGCTGGATGCACATGTAGGGTGAGAATTGGAAGCTGGGGTGGGAACTGTCTTGCTTCCTCTGGCTAGAAGAATAATAAACCAGCTATTCTTTAGGGGGAACAATGGACTCTGGCATGGCAAGCCTTTGCACGCCCAGGTCATTTAAATATGAGAATTCCTACAAGAGCCCCTGACCTGGGATAGACTGGACTACAAAGTGACCAAATGGTGTGGAGAACTGGAGGACAGAGCCTTGCCTCGAGCCTTCTCTACCTCAGAATCTGAAGCCACTGCAGGTGTTACAGGATTTGTCTTAGTACTGTTCTGTTGCTTTGAAGAGAAACCATGCCAGGGCAACTCTTATAAAAGAAAGCATTTACCTGGGAGCTTGCTTACAGTTTCAGAGGGTGAATCCATTATCATCATGTCAAGGAGCATGGTGACAAGCATGACACTGATCAGTAGCAGGGAGCTATACTCTGATCTGCAAGCATAGAGAGACTAGGCCTGGCATGGGCTTTGAAACCTCAAAGCTCCCCCACCCCCACCACCAGTGACACTCTTCAACAAAGCTAACACCGCATATTCCTTCTAATCCTATCAGAGTTCCATATCCTAGTGACTAAGTATTCAAACATATGAGCCTATGGGGACCATTCTTATTCAACCACCACAGGATACATGGAACATACTTCATGTCAGACATTAGCCTCATAGCTCCATGTCATTCACTCATTCTTTCAGAGTAGTTCTAGAAGGGAGATACTATGCTGAGGAATGTATCAGGATTCATTCTTAATCCTAGCAGATGCTGTGTGTATACCTGAAATCAGTTGGTTCCAAATTCTGAATTCATAAGGGCAAGGTTAATCCTGCCTCGTGACTCAAAGGGGTATTGTGTGGCCTCTAGCACTGATCTTGGTACAAAAGGGCATAGTTGTGACCTCTCAGAAAGGTGAGAACATTGGGTGATAAATCTGTCCTGAGCAACCTGCTCAGCTCAGATATTGATTATTTTAGCATTCTCCCATGTTGTCATGTTTACAGGTGAAAGTTACTCTCAACAGGAACTCATCTCTCTTCTACTGTCTGTGAAGTCAGTACCAGTAACTGAAGGACCTCATCTCTCTTCAAAACTAAATACACATGAGA